GCTGGAAACTGTTGTGCTGCTTAATATTTTTTTGGAACCTGTGATACTTTTTTTCAGGATTCTTTGATGAATAAAAAGTTAAAAAGAACATAATTTATTTAAAATAGAAATCTTTTCTAACAATATACACTACAGTTCAAAAGTTTGGGGTCAGTAAGTTTATTCTTTCTTTTTTTTTAAAGAAATTAACATTTTTATTCAGCAAGGATGTGTTAAATTGTTTAGAAGTGATAGCAAAGATTTTGTTAGAAAAGATTTATATTTTGAATAAATGCTGTTATTTTTAACTTTTTTGCAGTTTCCAAAAAAATATTTGGCAGCACAACTGTTGCCAACATTGATAATTCTAATAATAAATCCGCATATTAGAATGATTTCTGAAGGAGCATGTGACACTTTATACTGGAGTAATGGCTGATGGAAATTGTATGTCTGCACTATGTCTGTACTTTCTGTACTGGAAGCTCCTGCCACCAAGATGAATTCCTTGTGTGTAAACACACTTGGCAATAAAGCTCTTGCTGATTCTGAAAAAAGTGACGTGACGTGTAGCCAAGTATGGTGTCCCATACTTGGAATTTGTGCTCTGCATTTAACCCATCCAAGTGCACACACAGCATTGAGTAGTGAACAAACACACATACACACACACACACACACACACACACACCATGAACACACACCCAGAGCAGTGGTTGCTGCGGAGCCTGGGGAGCAGGTGGGTGTTCGGTGCCTTGCTCAAGGGTCTCACTTCATTCGTGGTATTGAGGGTGGAAGAGAGCGCTGGTCATTCACTTAAAGGATATTAAAATAGAAACCATTATTTTATATTGTAATAACATTTTGCAAGATTACTGTTTTTTTTTTTCTGTATTTTTGATCAAATAAATTCAGCCTTGATGAGCATAAGATACTTCTTTAAAAAACATTACAAGTCTTACTGATCCCAAACCTTTGACCTATAGTGTGTGTGTGTGTGTGTGTGTAAATTTCAGCTTTATTTCCATATCATTTGAAAACAATTCATTTAATTGTAATTGATCATCACATAATTTAATTGTAATTGGTCAATTACAAAAGTGATTTGAAAAATAAGTTCATACTGTGTTCCTGTAACCATTGTCAGGCAGCAGGATGTGCTGAATGTAAGGAATGCTCTGGGTCTGGCTTGTATTGGCTGAGCTGTAATTTGGGTGTATGAGAGAGAGTTACGGTCCTGGGGCCGGTTTTCAGCACAAACAATGTGGTCGGAGCGCCTCCGTTTCCTTTAAGCACTGGAATGACCAGCTGAAACAACTGCGCTTTTGTGCGGTTTGTGAAGCGGCCAGGTCTCAGATTTATTGTGGGATTCTACAGGAAGTTCCTTTAGGCCTTGATGGTGGATATATGGTCACTACGTAATGTGTTCTTGCAGGTACCTGGTGCACTGCCTGCAGTCAGATCTGAATAACTACATGCCAGCTTTCCTGGAAGATCCCGATGAACAGAACCCACAGAGGCCCAAGATAGGTGAGCAGAGACCCAGTCTCATGTTTTCAGATGCAAGTCACCTTTATTTATATAGAGCTTTATACAAAACAGAGCAGCTTTAGAGTAATAAACAGAAAAATAACTGAATCATTGATACAAGCTTCTTCATATATGAGACCAATTCAAATTATGTCATGTAAAGCTGCTCTAAAAAGACGATAGTATCATTATTCAGCTCAAGTCAGTTCAGTATTGGTTCAGTTCAGTTCAATAACTGTGTAAGATTCATCAACAGTTGCAGTTTTCGATATTGCATGTATAAAGATGAGTAGATTTTAATCTGTTTAAAAAACAGAAATCAGAATTAAAATTGAAATAGTTATATGGGACCACCTAGTGGTGGTTTTGAAACTCAACAGCAAATATGTTCTACCCCAAAGCAGTGATATCTTTCAGTTTCTTTAAAGGAACTTGCAACATCTTAATTTCTTTGTTGTCTTGGTCATTGTAGAATGTTAAGTAGTCTTATTTTGACAAGTCTATTTCAACAAAATGACTTGGACAAGTGGACAGACATGCCCTCTTGATTAGAATGGCATCAACATCTTAAGCAACACAGAAATTTGCTGAAATGAACCAGAACCATGCAAAACATCTTAAGTAACATAGTAGCACTTCCAGTTCTCTAGAAGAGTGTTTCCCAACCCTATTTTACAAGGAACCCCAATTTTAAATGTGTTGCACATCAGGGACCAACCACAGAAAAAAACATGTTCAAAGAGAATCTCAACAAAAAAAAGATGAATTCTTTGTTTTTCAACCTTTTGTATAAATATCTGTCCCAGCTAACAGCGGTAGTTCATAACATTGCATCATTATAATTGCAAATAAAATAAATAAAAGAATGATGGTATTGTTTCTGTTTATACTGCATTAAAAGCCCTGACTTTCCACTTTCCACAGAGGACGTTCTGCACACATTAACGGGCGCCATGTCTCTTCTGCGGCGGTGCCGTGTCAACGCGGCCCTCACCATTCAGCTGTTCTCGCAGCTCTTCCACTTCATCAACATGTGGCTCTTTAACAAGCTGGTGACAGAGGCAGACTCGGGACTGTGCTCGCACTATTGGGGCGCCATCCTGCGACAGCAGCTCAGCCACATCGAGGCTTGGGCTGAGAAACAGGGTTTGGAGCTGGCCGCAGACTGCCACCTCAGTCGCATAGTGCAGGTACCACATGCAAATATATACACCAGTCTTTCCCAGAGTTGCATTTATAGTTAAGCTATTAAAGTTGAGTCATTATAAGCTATAGGTTAAACTAATTGTTTACTACACACTAACCAAACCCTTACAGACACATTTTGGCAATTTTAGATTTTAAATAAGACGTTATCTGGTCCAAATATATACTGTTTTTATTAGTAAGAATGTTTTGGCATGGTTAGATTTTAATTGAGACATGATTTGCCCCATTTATGAGCCTTTTTCTTGTGGGCACATCCACACAGAGAGGTCTTTCTGTTCTTTTGCAGACATTTACCTCCACAACATCAGCAAAGCATGCATGTACACGCACAACAGGATTAGAATCCCTTGAGCTGTTCTGAGTTGCTTTCTTATGGCTTTTCTGTTGTGTATATAATGATTGTTTTATTAGATGGTGGAACAGCATGCGTCATTTATAAAAATGTGACCTTAGGTTATGTTGCCTGTTCATGCTTTCACTAATCTTTTGTTTTCCAGTATGGGGTAGTTCACAGTTAACATGGGCAACTTTTTCTCAACATCAAGATTTTATCTTAAAATGTACATGAATGTGTAAGTGAAAGTGTACTGTATATTTTGTTTCTCATGATCAGCGTTTTTTAATTTTATTTTTCAGTTTGCTCTTAAAAAATGTTGTTTAAAATTTGACCTTGCTGTCAAGTGACAAATTGAGGGTTTTTTATTTTCCCTAACAGCAAATTTAGTGCAAACAAACAATATATATATGTTTATATGTATACATAATTGTATTATTGTACAAACCAGTGGTATGCAGAGAACATTTGTAACACTAAAAGACTTTATTAGTAGTAGTAGAATTAAGTATTATTAAAAAAATATATATTTTATTTTTGTTTTACTTCTTTTATTTACTTTTTCATATTTCTAATATATACCTTTTTACCATAAATTTGTCTGTATAGCACAATAATACATAGACTACATTCTTTCTTGGAGGGAATTTTGGTAGTGACGAGATGGTACTTCTAGGATGTTCTGGTTTGATCAAAGGTGGCACTTGGCCTGAAAGGTTTAAAAACCTCAGTCCTAGTTAGATGGACTATGAACCAATACATTACTTTATCGTAACTGTCCCTTTGTCTCTGTAGGCAACGACCCTCCTCACCATGGACAAATACTCCATGCAAGATGTGCAGAACATCAACAACACCTGCTTCAAGCTCAACTCTCTGCAGCTCAACGCTCTGCTGAGCAACTACCACTGCGCTCCTGATGAACCCTACATTCCTCCTGTAAGTGAACTGTCTCATTTGGGCTGTGTAGTCCTAGTCTGATGACATGTGTCCTTTTTGAGATAAACCAAACCAGGTGTTCTCCTCTTTCACAGTAGCTCTGCTCATTTCCTCTAACCTCAGGGTTTCTCATAATGTGACCTTCTTGTTTGATGTGAAATATTAAACTCATTACTTTAAAAGGTGCTGTAACTGATGTTAGCTGTTCTGGAACTTCTCCCAGACCGAATTAGATGCACCCCATCTTTCCAAAACTCACTCTACAAAGCGAAGTAGAGATGGAGGAGAAGAGCAGCAGCATGTCAAGTTTTCCTAGAGTTCTTATGTACCATCAGGATCATTGTCCCCTTCATGCTCACAGGAGCTGATTGATCACGTGGTGACTGTGGCCGAGAACACGGCGGACGAACTGGCCCGAAGCGATGGGCGGGAAGTACAGTTGGAAGAGGACCCTGACCTCCAGCTGCCTTTCCTACTGCCCGAGGACGGCTACTCGTGCGACGTGGTGCGGAACATTCCCAATGGATTCCAAGAGTTCCTAGAGCCGCTTTGCCAGAGAGGTATGGATGATAAACAGAATGCTGCCATTCTAAATTAGTTTTTAGAGCATTTGATGTCAGTTGCGGTGTGCACAATAAGTATCAGGTGGATGGTGAATCAGAGGTTGTTGCCTTTGTTTCTTTAAGGCTGACGTGATGCCAGTGGAATGTGGTTTGTTAAGGTTGTGTTCAACTCTCTGTTTGCTGCCATTCCTATCAGTATTTGTTTTTGTTTTTTTCAAGAGAGCAAGAGTGTGTGTGACACAGACAGTGAGTGGATTTGAAATTTTATCGTTTAGTGGATGTGTTCTGATCTGCTCATTCTCCTCCAGGTTTCTGTCGATTGACACCTCATCCACGCTCTCCGGGAACTTGGACCATCTATTTTGAAGGAGCCGATTGTGACCGTCACTTCTCAGCTGACACGTCAGAACTGGTAAGTTATTAAGCCATTTAGATAGATAGATAGATAGATAGATCTTTTTGATGTCAGTTGCTAGTGTGTGTGTTCTGACAAGTTAACATTCTCTTAGGTTTCAGCCAACACTAGTTACACCACGGAGGGCAATATTTAACCATAGTGCCCAAGAACCGGCTGTAAATTATATCTTTCTCCTCACCCTGAACACACAAAGCCCTTAAATGCTCCTCCTCCCCTGTAATTAGTCTGTTTCTCGTATTTTTACATAAGTGAATTTTTTTGTTACATAATGTCATAATCTTATTTTTTATTTATTTTTACACAATGTCAGTCAGCCCTACAGCAGACAAAGCTGGAGCTCGGAGCGCGTTTAAATACCACAGAGAAATCTGATGAATGCAGCTTGATCATGTGCCAAACCAACCCACCCACTCCCACATCCTTTTCTTACAGCCATCCCAGGACCAATGCTTACCGTAAACTCACATATTGTACCTTGTTTGCAGTTTCTGGTCGTACTGTGCATTATTTATAACACATTATTTTAAAGATAAAAAAATATGTTTATGATCAAGTGATCACTTGAAGCATTGTTCCTTGTTGACAGACATCAACTATAGGCTGGGGAAAAAAATGTTCACCAATAGCAAATGGGTATTTAGACACTATTTTAGATTACTGATGGAGCTGAGTTTCTAGTAGTCTATGCGTTCATTAATTAAGATAGCAATGCCAGAAAATCCTTTTCAAAAGGAACATGCTTTA